CCCATGAAAGAAGCTGTTCGAACCTCTGTTTTGTCAAAGAGGTGGAGGTATCTTTATGCTTCAATTCCTAATCTTGACTTCGATTTCGGTGAACTGCCGGTGGTGAATCAGTTGAATTTCCTGGGTTTTGTGGATAGATTATTCTTTTTACGTGGCAGAACGGTAGTAGACAAATTTAATCTCCGTTGCTGGGATGCACCTAATGTTGACGCTGTGCATCTTGAGTGGTGGATAAGTTCTATAATCGAGCTTGGAATTCAAGAAATTCTCATTCATTTTGATTTCAATAAACTGCTGCCAACGAGTAGATTATTTACTTGTGCGACATTGACATCTCTGAAATTGTATTTTATGTCCGAGTCTAGTTTACAAGTCCCTGCCAACATTTTGTTCCCGAGTCTTAAGATTCTTCACCTTGTAAATTCCATTTCCTTTTGCAATGATGATTCTGCTGAAAGGCTGTTTTCTAATTGCCCTGTTCTTGAGGATTTGGAGATCAGGAGTCTTTTGATAAAGGATGGGAAATGCAATTTAACTGTTCCTAATTCTACTCTCAAGAGGCTGACAATAGTATCCCTACTTCTCAATTGGGATCAAAGTTTTGACATTGTGATTGATGCCCCAAATCTTGTCTACTTGAAATACAATGGGTGTGATCAAAATTCTCATGTGTTTGTAAATGTGCAGTCTCTTTCTGCAGCTGATATAAATTTTTGGGAAAGTTTATGCCCCCAGAGCAATCCTCATTCTGCGAGTGATCTGATGAGAGGGATATGCAATGTTGAGACACTTTGTTTAACTTCCATTGCTCTATGTGTATGTTTTCTGATGATACCTTATTTTAATGAATTTGAATTGCCCAAATTTCCAGTTTAGTGATTTTTCTAAAACAAACAATTGTGCTGCTGATGACTAGTGCTTACATTTTCTTTTGCAGAGTTTTGAAAAGCTCCGTGTTCCAATTCCTTTGTTCATCAATTTGACCCATCTGAGAATTTCCGAAAGTGGACGTATTTTCAGCTTTTTAGGATTACCAAATTTTCTTGCACAAAGCTGTTGTCTAGAAACACTAGTTTTGGAACTGTATGCACATGTTAAATGGAATCCTAATCCCTGGTACGAGCTAAGGGAATCTGGAGCCAGTTGTTTACTGTGCCTCAAGACAATTGAAGTTCGATCATTTGTTGGGGCTGAAGATGAAGTGAAAATGGTTGAGTATTTCCTGGAAAGTGCAAGAGTTCTAGAGCAATTGAAAATTCAAATTAAAGCAAAACCAGCAGATCAATCTAAGATAGCAGATGCATTAAGGAGCCTACCAAGAGTCTCACAGAAATGCAGAGTCATTATTGAGTAGGTATCTCCATCTTTCTGGTATGTTGAATTGGCTACTGTTGTTTCAGTTGATTCAAGCTGGTTGAAGGACTCATTCAAATTGAAGAAAAATGCACACTGCAGGTGATAATCATCTATATTCCTTTTTATATTTGTTTTTCAAAAATGAGTTCAGTGTCTCTAGTGTTCTTATTATGTTCCATGGGTAGATTGGAAGATGGGTTTTTCTTTTATGCTTTTCTGCAGAAGTGAAATTGCTGAAAGGCGATGAGTGCCGTATCAATGAATTGCTTGATGAGGTTCTTTCCCACATTATCTCATTATTACTTCCTATGGAAGATGTGGTTCAAACCTCTATTTCGCAAAGAGGTGGAGGCACCTCTGTACTTCAATTTCTAACTTGACTTTGATTTTGGAGCAATTCTGATAGAGAATGAGTCGGGTTCCATGGAGTTTCTGGATAGACTGTTCATTTGCCGTGGCAGATCACCTTTACACAAATTTTGTCTCATGGACATTCGTTATCCTACTAATCTTGACCCTTCCCGCCTTGAAAGGAGGATTTGTGCTGCAATTGGGCTTTGGTATTCGGGAGATTTACCTGACTTACAGGCTCTATCAGCTCCTGCTGCCAAGTAGTTTATCTACTTAGACAACATTGGTAGCTCTGAGATTGAGAAATTATTTTTCTGCATCTGGTTTCCAAGTCCATGCCAAAGTTTGGCTCCCAAGATTGAAGATTCTTGACCTCGACAATTCTATGTGCTTTTCCAGTGATGATTCTGCTGAAAGGCTGTTTTCCAACTGCCCTGTTCTTGAGGATCTGGTTATCAGAAGTTATATGGGAGGTGGTAAAGGTAAATTTCCTTCTAATTCTATACTCAAGAGGCTGACAATAGAATCTGGAAACTGGAGAAATCATCGCAGTTTTGAGATTGTGATTAATGCTCCAAATCTTGTCTACTTCAAATACTCTGGATGTGAAGAAAATTCTCATGTATTTTTGGATGTGCAGTCACTTGGCTGAAGCTCATAGATTTTCGTCAAATGTACAGGATCAAAGCAATGTAAATTTTGGGTTTAAGAATGAAAAGTATGTATATTTAAATAGAATTAACAAATTAATTGAGAAAAAGATTAAAAAAATACAATTTTTTTTTTAGTTTATGGTCAAAAAGGTTGTAAAACATGGTTCAGCGACAAAATATTCAAAATTAAAAGTTTAAAAACTAAATATATAATTTAACTGACTTTTTGAGTAAATTAAGAGAGTGTTCGGCGAACGTAAAAACCATTTGTTTTAAAATTGTTGTTTTTCTCTCACAAATATAAATTTTATTAGAAGAAAATATTACAAATTATTTTTTAAAATGATATTTAAGTAAATTTTTTAAAAAAATTATACATCTAATTATTTTCAAAATTAGTTTAAAATTTATTTTAAAATTTTTTTAACAAAATTTTAAATTTACGAAAAAAAAAAAATTAAAGCAAGTGATATTTAAGCCCAAACACAAAATTCCATATTCCCATGGGGGCATAATATAAGGTAAAAGTACTTGTCCTCCGACTGCATCCACCAAAACCCTAAATCACCAAAAATGCAAGCTGTTCGGAGGACTCATTCGAATCGAAGAAAAATGCGCACTTCAGGTGATAATCATTTATTTCCTTTTTATAATTGTTTTCTGGAAAACAAGTCCTTCAGCGTCTCTTGTTTTCTTGTTATATTCCATTTGGGTAGATTGAAAGATGGGTTTTTTTTCTTTTTTTGGTAGAAGTGAAATTGCTAAAAGACAATGAGTGCCGTATCAATGAACTGCCTGATGGAGTTCTTTCCAACATTATCTCATTACTTCCCTTGAAAGAGGCTGTTAGAACCTCTATTGTGTCAAAAAGATGGAGGTACATTTATGCTTCAATTTCTAATATTGACTTTGAGTTTGGAGCAATTCCTATAGCCAATGAATTGGGTTTCATGGATTTTCTGGATAGACTGTTCATTTCCCCTGGCAGATTGCCTTTACGCAAATTTCGTCTCAGGTGTATTCGTTCTCTCAATGGTCGTGAGGCTTTCCGCCATCGTCATCATGCTAATCTTGACCCTGCCCGCCTTGAAAGGTGGGTGTGTGCTGCAATTGGGCTTGGTATTCAAGAGATTTACCTGACTTTTACGCTCAATCAGCTGCTTCTGCCTAGTAGTTTATTTACTTGTACAACATTGGTAGCTCTGAGATTGAGAAATGATCACTCTGCATCTGGTTTCCAAGTCCCTGCCAAAGTTTGGCTCCCGAGTCTGAAAATTCTTGACCTTTACAATTCTATGTGCTTTTCCAGTGATGATTCTGCTGAAAGGCTGTTTTCCAACTGCCCTGTTCTTGAGGATCTGGTTATCATCAGTTATATGGGACGCAGTGGTAAAGGCAAATTAATTGTTTCTAATTCTACACTCAAGAGGCTGACAATAGAATCTGTAAACTGGAGAAATCATAGCAGTTTTGAGATTGTGATTGATGCTCCAAATCTTGTCTACTTCAAATATGCTGGATGTGAAGAAAATTCTCATCTACTTCTTAATATGCAATCACTTGCTGAGGCTAATATAGATTTTCAGCCAAATGTACTGGATCAGAACAATGTTCATTCTGCAAGTGCCCTGACGAGAGGGATAAGCAACATTCACACTCTTCATTTAACTTCTACTACCCTATTTGTAGGTTTTCTGATGGCATCTCTCTAGATGAATGATGAATAGCAGTTTTGCACAAATTTTTATTTTTATTTTTTTTTTTTTTACAACAATATGCAGCTAACTACTACTTACCTTCTCTTTTGCAGTGTTTTGAAGAGCTTGGTGTTCCAATCCCTTTGTTCCCTAATTTGACTAATTTGAGAATTTCCTTCAGGGAACCTTTTTTGGGCTTTCCCGGGTTACAGAATTTTCTTGCACAATCTCATCGTCTAGAAATACTTGTTTTGGAATTGCGTTCTGGTGATGATATAGATGAACCACTTAAATGGAATCCTGATCCCTGGTACGAGCTCAAGGACTCTGGAGCCAGTTGTTTATTGTCCTTGAAGACAATTGAAATTCGATCATTTGAGGGGAGTGAAGATGAGGTGAAAATGGTTGAGTATTTTCTGGAAAATGCGAGAGTTCTAGAGAAATTGGAAATTCAAATTTGGGCAGAAATAGAAAGACGGTTTCTGATATCAAAGCAGTTATTGGCACTACCAAGAGCCTCACAAAAATGCAGAGTCATTATTGTCTAGGTATCTCCATCCTTCTGGTATGCTGAATTGCCTATCGTTGTTTCTGTTGATTTCAGTTTTTATGAAGGCATTCCATTTTTTGGTTTTGGATATAAATCGTTGTTCTCTTTGTATTATAGTCTTAATTAACTGCACAAACCCTTTTGGTCAATGTTGGTGATGATATATTACCAGGGACTTGTACTACCCTAAACTCTTTTGCTTTATCCCATGGATCAGGTCTCTCCCCTTTACAAAGTGTATTTTGTTCAGTGCAAAGTTATCGATTCCATTCCATGCCCATATACTGTACTTTTTAGTACGCTTCTTGTGTTTGCTTGTTTACATTGTAGAGTAGCAGAGTTAGGACTGATAACTGTGAAAGTTAAGCATAAAAGCTCTCCAAATATGTATGTGTTTGTTTGTATTATGACCCAGATTAGAAACAAGGATTTCCAGTTCTTGAACTGATGGATCAGATTTGGAAGCTTTCTGTAAATCACAGCTTCACTAGTATTAATTGTTTCGATAATTGCTTGGATAATCATGAAATCTTTAATTTTGTGTATTTATGAACAATGTAAAGTAACCATAACGGATCCAATTATTCTTTACAAATTCGTGTCACCAATCATCAAACCAAATTGTATTCTCACTTCTCTCAGCCTTTGTCAAGCCAGCTTGCTAATGTCGACCACAGGAGGCAAACAATTGTGACACTGTGACACAGATAGTTCCTCTCCAAATTTGTGGCCAAAAACTCGAGAAGTTCATTTCCATATATTGAAGTCTCGAAATTAGTTATAATTTTTATAATTCTGTAGAGATTCAGTGTTTTTCTTTCTCTCAAGTCTCAACTATATATACTTTGAGTAGTCCGTTTTGATCCAGTGATATAAACATTTAGTTGGGTCGTTTATCTCTTGTAGATGGTATATTTTAGTCTTAACAAAATCTTTTTTTTTTTTTTTTCAATTAATATCTATAAATAATTTCAATATGGTAAAAAAAAAAATGTACTTTAGAGAAAAACAAACGCAAACGCAATTGGTCAAAACTATCAAAATAACAATATTGGAATTGAAAATTTTAGGATTTAAAAAAAAAAAAACTATTTTACATGTAGATTATATAATATTTGTATTATAAAATTATTTAACTGTTTTTAATTTTATTTTTATATTATTTTTTTAAAAAATATGTAAATAATTTTTTTAAAGTATTTCCTTCTCCTAGTCCAGCAAAATTCAAAACCCTAAATCATTCTCACTGCGTATAGGGACGACTGGGAGGATTCAGTCGAATGAACGATGGAAATTCTAGGTGATCATATTTTTTCCCTTTTTCTCGAATCTTCTTCAATCTCTCTTCCAATATTCATTTTTCGAGCAAGGAGTTCATCGGTCTATGCAGCTTACTCAAATTTCTTATGCTTCAGTTTGAGATCGCAACTGATATGGCGAAAAGGATGAAGGCTGGTAGCGTTAGGGATGGTATCAATGAATTGCCTGATGAGATTCTTCTGCATATTATCTCTTTCCTTCCCATGAAAGATGCAGTTCGAACCTCTGTTTTGTCGACACGGTGGAGGTATCTTTATGCTTCAATTCCTAATCTTGACTTCGATATCCGAACACCTTCGATGATGAATCATATGGGTTTCATGGATTTTGTCGATAGACTCCTGATTTTGCATGGGAAATCGCCTGTCGGTAGATTTAGTCTCGGATGCCCACGTTCGACAGCCCTTGACCCTTTGCGCGTTCTAAGCTGGATACGTGCTGTAACCAGGGCTGGTATTCAACAGATACACCTTCACGTTAAGGGGTTGAGGAGGTTGGATGGCATCGGGTTGCCGACTAGTTTATTTACTTGTACCACATTGGTGTCTCTGAAATTGAATTTTCACTCTAAGACTGGTATACTAATCCCTGCCAAAGTCTATCTCCCAAGTCTCAAGATTCTCCAGCTTGAAAATTCTGTTGACTTCTCCAATGATGAGTCTGCTGAAAGGCTGATTTCTAACTGCCCTGTTCTCGAGGATTTGTTTTTTAGAAGTTATTTTCGAGGGGATGGTATCTGCAAATTAAGTGTCTCTAATTCTACACTCAAGAGACTGACAATAAAATCCGTAGCCTATTTCCTCCAGTATAGCAGTCTTGAGATTGTGATTGATGCCCCGAATCTTGTCTACTTTAGATACAGTGGCTGTGAGGCAAACTCTCATGTATTTGTGAATGTGCAGTCTCTTGCTGGGGCTTATATATATTTTCAGAGATATTTTGATGATTCGAGTTATCTTCACTCTGCCACTGATCTGCTGACAGGGATAAGCAACATTCGGACACTGTGTTTATCTTGTAGTACTCTATTTGTAGGTTTTCTCTCAATGAATTTTATGAATTGCTCAAAATTTCTGTTTAGTGATTTTTCAACAACAAAAAAATGTGCAGCTAACTACTAATTTCCTTTTTTTTTTTTTTTTGGCAGCATTTTAAAGACACTGATGTTCCAATCCCTTTGTTCCGTAATTTGACCAGTTTGAGAATTTCCTATTGCTTACCTTTGGGGATGCAAGGACTACCAAATCTTCTTGCACGATGTGATTTTCTAGAAATTCTTGTTTTGGAGTTGTATACAGATCATCAACCGGTTATAGATGAACTGCCTTTTTGGGATCCTGATCCCTGGTATGAGCTCAAGGAATCTGAACCCAGTTGTTTATTGTTTGGTCTCAAGACAATTGAAGTTGTATCATTTGTTGGGGATGAAGATCAAATGAAAATGGTTGGGTATTTTCTGGAAAGTGCTACAGTTCTAGAGAACATGAAAATTCAAATTCAGGCAAACTTGGGAGAACAATTTATGATAACAGAAGAGTTATTGATGCTACCAAAAGTCTCAGAGAAATGCAGAGTTATTATTATCTAGGTATCTCCATCTTTCTCATATGTCTAATTACCGAGGTTGTTTCAGTTTATTTCAATTTTTATTATCATGAGGGCAATATCCTTGTCAAATTCTAATTTCTGTTTGTCCCACAAAATACAAATTTTATGATTTTCTGGCCAGACACCTAGCATTAGTCCCTTCTCAATCCTTTTTGCCGAGATACTTGCACTATGGGCTGCTGTTGGTAGGGCAGCTAGTTGGCACATGGAGAAGGTTATTTTGGAGCCTGACAACAAGGAATTGGATGTACCGTGGGAAATTCATCCCCTGATACATTGACTTTTGGTCGTTTTGTTGTGTTTTTGTTTCATGTTGCTTTTTCTATGTTTCTTTCTTGGGGAGGTGTCAATCTGGCTGCTGACTGGGTAGCAAAAAATGTCTTACAGGATAAATTTCTTTCTACTGCCTTGAAGAAGGCTACATTTTGTAAAGATGTTGAATCAGCAAATGGATTTCAATTTCTGTTAAAAAGAAAAGTCTAACTAGCTAGATTTTTTTTTTTTTTTTCTGAAATATGGAATTTATATTGTATATTATAAGGAGAATTTACATTAAGTATTCATGCTATCTACATGAAGCAAAAAGGAAAGTAAGTTAGGCGGTCTGTGTGCCCAGTACCATGGGCATTTGCCCTTCAGTGATGATTTGGCCACCCAATCTGCTACTCTATTTCCTTCTCGTGGCACATAATTGAAGAGAAAGTCAGGATGACAGGAGCATCCTTGTCTGATGTTTATAATAACAGTTTTAACTTCCCATGGAAGAAGTTTTTCATGCTGTTGTATATAAGAAATTAGTGCCTGGTTATCAGATTCTAACTAGCTAGATTTAGATACATGTATTAAACAAAACAAACTATGAGCACCTTCTCTCTGATTGAAATTTAAAATATATAAAATTGTAATAATTATTGAAAACAATGTTGTGTACGGACGTAACAAATTTGCAATTTAGGTTACTATTTTAGAAATTTTAAGATTTCAGAAATTCTAAAGTAAAGTATAACGTGATAGCTTCATTTTATAAGATAAGTGATAGCTAAAATTGCATCAAATTGTAAAACAACACCCACTATGAGAACGTGCCCCAATAATCAATGGGTCCAGTTCGTATTCTGCACATCTTCTGTTATCTTGTCAAATGGGTCGCGCAAACAAAAATAATGGCACTATTCAAGGAAAAAAAAAAAAAAAAAGTAGGGGCATCATTCTGCACATTTTCCGAGTTCCAAGCCCCTCTACGAACTACTCAGCACTCACCTCTCCTCCATTAAATCCTAAATCCACGTTCTGTTCGGAGGATTCAGTCTAAATTCAAGCAAAATAGAAAGGAAATTCCAGTTGATCGTCATCAACTTCCTTTTTCCTTTTTCTTCTGTCTCTCTCTGCCATGATTTTTGATATCTGATTTTCGAACGGTGAGTTAATCAGCCATCTTAATTTCCAGGGCGAGATTGATGAGGGGTTTTTCTTTTATGCTTTTTGTACAATTAAAATTGCCATAAAGGTGAAAGCTTGTAACGCTATGGAGGGTATCAACAAATTGCCTGACGAGGTTGTTCTGTACATCATCTCCTTACTTCCCCTGAAAGATGCAGTTAGAACCTCTGTTTTGTCAACAAGGTGGAGGTATCTTTATGCTTCAATTCCTACTCTTGAATTTGATTTCCTAGCTACTCCGGTGGAGAGTCATGGGGGTTTCATGGATTTTATCGATAGGCTACTCATTTTCCGTGACAGATCTCCTGTAGACAAATTTCGTCTCAGCTGCTTTTATTCACAAGTTGTTGATCCTTTGCACCTCCAAAGGTGGATATGTGCTGTAATTAGGTTTGGTATTCGAGAGATTCAAATTCGTTTTGAGGATTCTGAAGATGTGCTGCTGCCGAGTGATTTATTTACTTGTACCACATTGGTGACTCTGAAATTAAATTTTCACTCTGAGTCTGGTTTCCAAGTTCCTGCAAAAGTTTGTCTTCCAAGTCTAAAGGTTCTTCACCTTAAGAATGCTATTTCCTTTTATAATGATGATTCAGCCGAAAGGCTGTTTTTGAACTGCTCTGTTCTTGAGGATTTGGTTATAAGCAGTTATTTTGGAGAGCATGATGACTGCAAATTAATTGTTTCTAGTTCTACACTCAAGAGGCTGACAATAAAATCCATAAGCTATGAGGACTGTAACAGTTTCGAGATTGTGATTAATGCCCCAAATCTTGTCTACTTAAAATACACTGGTTGCGAAGCAAACTCTCATGTATTTGTGAATGTGCAGTCTCTTACCGAAGCCCATATAAATTTTCAGAGATATTCGTCGGAACAGGATTATTTTTTTCCTGCTGGTGGTCTGTTGACAGGGATAAGAAACGTTCAGACACTTTGTTTACCTTGTAGTACCCTACATGTAGGTTTTCTGATGACATCTCTTTATATGAAT